ATGAAGTCCAGGTTTTCTATATTTTCTTTTGTTGCCAGTGCCTTTGGTGTCATATCCAAGAAATCATTGCCAAATCCAATGTTGTGAGGGGTTTGCCTTATGTTGTTTTCTAAGAGTTTTATTGTTTTAGGTCTTATGCTTAGGTCATGGATCCATTTTAAGTTAATTTTGTATATGATGCTAGGTAAGGGTGCAACTTCATTCTTTTGCCTACATTATCCAGTTTTTCCAGCACTATTTATTGAAAAGACTGTCTTTTCCTCATTGAATAGTCTTAGTACCCTTGTTGAAAATAATTTAACCATATATGTGAGGGTTTATTTCTGAACAGAGTGCATGACATTTTATAGGATACAAAAGATGAATCAGAGTACAGATTGTCCTAACGCACTAGAATTGGTCATAGGGAGATTGTTAGAATGGAGTTGGATTTCATTTTTGTTTTACAGAAAAAAAGGAAAGAAGATTTAATTTAGAGGATGTTGATATAGTTGACTAAAAAGGAGTTCATGTCAGAATAACAGACCTTTAGACCCCTTTCCTGCCCTCGGTCATCTAGATCACATCCTTGTTTTTATACATGAAGAAAGAGGCCTGTTGTTACTCTTGAGGTCAGAATTACCAACAAATAGACATTATAGAAGGAAGATTTCAGCTCAGTGAAGGAAGAACTTCAAATGTCTAGAATAAATAGATTTGGAAAGGAACGAGCTCTTACTACAAATGTTCACACAGAAGTTGGATGACCACTTAGTAAGTCCTGCTGTAGAAGGAAGGTCTGATCACCTCTCCCTTGCTTGCAAATGTTCTGTGACTGCCCATTAACTTCAGTATAAAGACCCACTTTTTAAAATGGCATATATGGCCCTTATAATGTCGTCCTAGGCTACCTTTTTTTTTTAAAGATTTTATTTTTCCTTTTCCTCCCCAAAGCCCTCTGGTACATAGTTGCATATTATTTAGTCATGGGTCCTTCTAATTCTGGCATGTGGGATGCTGCCTCAGCATGGCTTGACGAGCAGTGCTATGTCCACGCCCAGGATCAGAACCGGGGAAACCACGAACTTAACCGCTTGGCCACGGGGCTGGCCCCTAGGCTACCTTTATAGTATCATCTCCTGCCATGTATCTGTGTTCTTGATATGTCCAACTGTATAAACTTTAATGTCCCGTCTAACCTTCAGATCTTACATTAAAAAAAAAAAGCCATTTTAGGAAAACAGACTGTTTCTAATGCTTTAAGGAAGTAAGCTAAAGGGTGTGGCTGTAGTTTAAAATTTCACACATAGAATCCTCAAAGCAAATTCAATAGAATCAATGAGTAGCAAGTACACACATGTGCTAGTGTGACACACCTAAGGGCGCATGAAATCCAAACCAGGGCAGATGAGAAGAAACTTGACTTAAAGGAGAAGAGTTAATTTTTGTTGAACATTCACTACGTAGTAGGCCTTTTAACAATTTAGCTTTTAATTTTAAGAATAAAAAAGACAGAAATAGATCCTTTACAAAAGCTTTTAGGTGAGCTCATACTTTAGGAGCTTTGGTATTGCATGACTCACAAAATTTTAAAATTTGAACATATCTTCTGCTTTATAGACAACTTAGTGTCAACAAGCAATTTCTAGGTACTTTCAATGTGTAAGGATTGTGCTGGATGCTGAGAATACAAAGGTGAAGAAGACAGTAGGACCACATCATGGGAGTGATGCACTCTTTTTAATTGGAGCTCATCATCAGCCAGGTTCTATAAAAGGTTACCAACCATTGAAGTCTTTCCCCTTGAAGAAATCAGGTGTATAGGGAAAAACAAGGGGGCTCAGAGAAAAACTTTAGCAGATCTGATCATCTCTCTCCCTTGCTTATATATGTACAGTGACTCCCCATTAACTACAGGATAAAGCCTGTTTTTTTGGAATGGCATACATGGTCCCTTATGATCTGGTCCCTTTATGATCTACCAGCAGATCTACGTGGTTTAAGCAGACTTATATGAGAAGTACCTTTCTTTTTCTGGTTTAATTTATTCACCAAATCATCTTTTCATTCAATATGATTATTTTTGGACTAGGTTTTCCTATCACCTAGGAAGAGAATAGAATATGAATATTGATCCACTGGGCAATTATATTTCTCATCATATATGATGAAATAAGATTTTGCTGTAAGTAATTTTCACCTGAGTTTGGATGAAATTGAGTTCCCAGAACTTCTAGACTGGAAGGATAATTTTGGAGATAAACACAATCATGAGATTTTCCTTGCAAGTGTCAGATGTAAGTCCTCAGAGTATTTTTACAGAGAAGTCAGACATTTACCACTTTATTTCTCAGTAAGCTGTGATTTAAGGAAAAGAACACAGGACTGGTATGCTAGTCCTGCCTGTGACTTACTGTATGCCCTGGCCACTAATTTAGCTTCTTATGCCCTAAGTTTCCTCATTCTTCATGTAGTAATAATATACATACTTTGTTGTGGTGATAAACGAGATTACAGTTACCAAAATTTTCAACTCAAGCATGTAGGCATTATAAGGAATACAAATAGAAGTATTTGTGCTCAAGTTTATAATCTATTAGGGTTGACTTACAAAAGTCACATGCGGGGATTCAGAGCGGAGGGATCACATTCAGTGGAGTAGGGGTTGATCAGGAAGGTTTAATAAAGGAGGTAGGAGCTGAGGTGGGTATTGATAGGAAAGGTGGTAGAAGAAAGTTATCTGGAAGGGACAAGAGCAGAGAGGCACTGGGATTCTCAGTAGGGCCCTCAGCTTTCATTTCCAGACTCATTATCTTCTGCACATTCCACAGACTAAATTATTCTCTGAATCACAGACATGTGTCTGGCACATAGCAGGCAAGCCTCCAAGGTCCAGCTTCTACCTCTTCCATTGAAGGCTCACCCAAGTGGAATTTATCATGCTCTCCTCTGTATTTGCCCAGCCCTTTGTTCACATGACCTATTGCTTTTATTGTAGTTCAACAGAACCACCTTCCTTGCTCAGCGGTGAACTTTTTGGAGACAGGAATCTGTTTTGTCTTTGTATCCCTAGGCACCTAACTCGATGCTTTACTCTTATTAAGTAATCATGAAATTTTATTCAATTGAATTTGCTCCAAGGACACTGATATCTCTTACTAAATTGAAGGGCATGGTGGCATCATCTTAATGTTTCTATAGGCTTTAACTTTTGTGTCCTGCTGTTTTCCTTACATCATCCCTGGGAAGCAGTTTTTTTGCCTTTAAAAATTTACAGATGAGGAAACTCAAGGGGGTGCATTTGCCCAAAGTCATCCAGCTGGTAAGTGCTGAAGCCAGACAGGACTCCTTTGACTTGAAAGCTAGTACTCTATCCACTACACCTGAGCCCTGTGGCATCAGACAGGTAGGAGTAAAACGCACTTAGAGCTCTAGTTTTCTCATTTGTAAATCAGACCAATAGTACCGACCTCATGGGATTGCTACGAAGATTAAAGGGTGAAATATGTGAAGTCCCTAGCTCAGCGCCTAGCATTTAGCGGGCAATGCTTGATTTCTTCACACCAAGCTTCAGATTCATATGGACGTAAGCAGATAAAGAAGAGATATCCAGTTCTGGGGTGTAGTGGCAAGTACATGGACTACACAGAGAGGAATGTTTCTCTGTAACCTCGTACCGGTTCCAGCCTCTGAATCATATTATAAGAAATTTTATAAGGCAGTATCTGGTACAGAACATTCAGCATCTTCTCTTGACCACCACGTCCACCCTTGTCAAATCCTTTTCCTGCCTAGCATTTGTCAAATGCAAGGATTATAGCTGCGTGTTTTGTCCAGCTTTGAGGTCAGAGGTTGGCTGAACTATCCCCAAGGTTGAGGTCTTAAAAAAAAACAAACCGTAAGTCCTGTCTCGGATCGTGACTTTATATAACTACATGGAGGAATCTAACACATTAAAAGCAAGGAGGGGTGGGGACCCATGGATGGTAATTGGTTCCAAACTCGCGTGAAATCAAATATATGATTTCAAAAATCTTTTTCCAGGGGGATGCTCTTGAGATATCTTTGCTGAGTTTCTTAACTCTTGAACTGGCTCCATTTTAAAAAGAAAAGGACTCCAGCTTTGGTGGGCTTGGTGGCAAAGGTGCACAGGCGGGGGCGACCCCGGAGGCTTCCTGTCTAGCTCCCCGCCAGGGCTCAGAAGCTCTCGCAAGCCGCCGAGGGTCCGCGGAGGCTCGGGCCGGGCCCGGTCTGGGTGCCAGGCCAGAGGCTGCACGGCCAAGGCCAGGCTTCCTTCCCGGGGGAGGGGGGACAGCTTGCCGAGCGAGGCGCGGAGGGAGCTGTCGGGCCCTTCTTCCCGCTTGGGGCCTCAGGAGGGCGGCTCGCAGCTCAGGAGCCAGAGCTGTGCGGCGCGGCCGTGCCGACGACCCCGGCCTCCTCAGGCGCGCCGACGTCCCCGCGCCGCTCCCCAGCGGGGCCCTGGCTGGGAGGGGGACGTCGCGACCCCCGCTCGGGGGCCCCGCCCCTCCGCGCGAGCCGGCGGTGAGGCGACCCTCCCCCAACGCTGGAGGGCCCCGCCCCCTCCGCACGGGTTAACGAGTCCTCGCGCGCTCCCCTTCCCTCAGCGTGAGTGTGAGTGCGCTGCCCTCCCTCCGCGGCCTCCTCCCCATTGTTTCTCGCCGCCACCGCAAGCCTTCGAACGAAGCCCCTCCCCCACTGGTGTTTACTCCCCCCTGTCCGGGCTCAACCGGTGCCCAGGGGCCTCCAGAACGAGGGGAGGAGGCGCCCCTGAGCGCTTCCCTTCCCTTGCCTCTGCGCCTCCTATCCGGGATCTTCTCCGCGCCCATCTCCCCCCTCCCGCGGGCAGGACTCCATTCAGGGCTCGTCCCTCTTTCCCTCTCCCGGCTCCCCCGGCTCCATCTCCCCCTCGGCCCCCTCCCCTCAGCCGGCCCTCCTCTTTCTCTCCGTCTCCCTCCTCCTCCCCCTCCCCATCCCTTCCCCCCCCACAATGCAGTTCGCGGCGCGGCGGACATGGCGGTGGAGCCCTAAGCTCGTCGTGTCCCGGCCTCCAGCGGCGGCGGCGGTGACGGCGGCGGCGGCGGCGGCAGCGGGAGGCGGAGGAGGAGCGGGAGCCACTGAGATGAGGAGGCGCCGCGCGCGCCTGTAGCTCGCGGGCCTCACAGGTACGGAGGTTCCGGCCGCGGCGCGGCACCCTGCGCCGAGGGGGTGTGCTCGGGGAAGGCCGGGCGGCCCCCGCTTCGCCCTCCTCAGGTGCTGCGCCTCGCAGGTGTCGGGGCCCGGCCCGAGCGCGGCTCCGCCGCCCCCTTGGGGCCTGACACTTCTTTTTTTGCCTGACTGGGCTTGGGTGCCCCAGGGGGAGGCAGAGATGAGGGAGGTCGGGGCGGCGGCCTGGGCGGCCTGAGGAGGGCAATGGGGCGCTTTGGGGCCGAACTCCACCGAGTGGCGGGGGCTCCCGGCCTCGGGCCGAAACCTGTAGTCCCGGAGGCGGGTTTTGAGTTAACGGGATTGGCGTAGCGTTCTCGTGGGTCCTGTACGATTCCCTGTCATGTGTGTCTTTTCTTTCACCCCTGCTTCGATGTAGGCATGCATGTATGACATATAAACACAAGCATATAATACTTAATAAATATTTCCTCCTGGCTCGCCCTTGTGGTAAGGAGAGCAGGCAGCGGTGCCTGTGTGGATTTCGTTTCTTGCTCGCCCGCCTTCTCTCTCCCCCGCCCCGCAGTCGAATGGTGGTAATGAAAGCTTTTGACGTGGGAAACTGTGAGATTCGTATTTGTAAACAGACAGCACTCACCGAGTGTGTTGCACGCCTCTGCGAGAGGTTTCAGGTCCTTTGGGTATCCGGATTACAAAAAAATGAGATAGGTAGTTCTGAAAGAAGCACGTTATCGGGATTTCTAGTCGTACCGGAATGGGATGAATTACTGTTATTTTAACAACGTTGATTAAAAATTTTCTTTTCAGAAGATTATAAAATCTTTAGTCAGATGAGTTTTGTACCTTGCGCGAGATCTTAGTTTCGGTGTATACTGTGTTTCCACATTTTGGTGTATTTTTTGATACAAAAGTAGTTACTTGCACATTTGACGTTCTGCTCTCTTTTGTGATCTTCTCAGTGTCCAGAAATGCAATTCGAATTGTGTATTGTTGGCATGCATTTAGTAATTAACTGGAGTGGATCGGATTACCTTTTGTTTCCAAAGATTCCCGCCCCCCGCCTCCCCCAAGTCTTGTAGTAGCGAAATGTATAACTTGGTGAAACAGAACATATCCTATTTCTGTTTTTAATGTAATGAAAACTGTTAGCTAATAAAATTGGATAATCCCACTGGATATGATAATTTAGAGGGAATGACATACCAAGGTGGTGGGTTATAGAGTGGTTTAAAAAAAAAAGTTAACTTTTTTGTTAGTATCAATCAGCATGTTCTGTGTATGAGTAAATTGTGTGCTGAAGTTTTCTTTAGGCTCAGAACCCTTGTAAGTCTCCTTAGAAATTGCTGGACTACACTACATCCTAGTACTGATTAGTCACAACTTGCGAAATTATGAAGTATTGATTCATTTAGAAAGCTCTGCTTAAGATAATGAATTCACTAGTGTGTAGTGTGCTATGATGCTTTTATAAACAAGTTTTAAAGAGTGCTTCTTAAGAACCATATACTTTGGGGAAGATAAGAATTTTAAGTCATTTTGTGCTTTAAAAATGTGATATTTAAACAAAAAGAAAGTTGCTTTAAAAAAACAAATTTTCATGTTTGCAATTTTTCATTTGGCTAGTGTGGAAAATGAAAAAATAATGCTTCCTTGAAATAATATGGATGCGGAAGTGAAAGTTATTGACATTTAATGTTTTAAGTCTAGCAAATATCTAAATATAAAAAGGACATTAGGTAAAGTTGTTAGTGATATGTATAAATTAACAAGATGTTATCATGCACGTAAGTTTAGTTCAGTTTTGTTAATCCTAAATCACACCTAAAATCACGTTTATTTTTAATTTAGCTAGAACAGTAGTGTCTGCAATATAATTTTAGACCTTTGAAAATAAAAATTTATAATTGTAATTATAAATATCTCTGATTAATAAAAAGCTGTTTACAGAGAATTTTTGTCAGTTCTCAGAGCAGATTCGTTTTAGTAAGAGTAAGTAATTAGAGAACTTTTTTTGACCTCGTACTTAACCTTCACATGCATAATGAGCACCGTTAGTTATGTTGTTCTTTATAGAGTGTCAAATCAGGATCTGAGGTAGAAAAAGGTGTTTGAATTTATTTTCTGCAGAAAGTTTCTTATTTCAGAGAACCAATAAACAAGAGTTACCTGTAAATGTTGATGCCAGTAAATTTTGTTTATCCTCAAAAATAAAAATCAGACCATTTTCATCTAACAGAATTCAGTGAGATGTGTTACTTTCTAAACTACAAGTGCTTGAATTCATAAAATGTTACAAAGTACAATTAAATTCATTACTGCAGATAGAAATATGTTCAAAAAAAGAACAATTCTAGAAAGACCTAAAACAGGCAAGGGAAAAAGGCACTGTAGTTTAAGGGAGAATATGTAGACTTTTTTCTTCTTAATCTTAGAGGAATTAGGATTGTTTACACTAAACTGAGTTTTAATGCTAGAATCGTAGATAACTGCATAATTTGGGGAAATGTTTAAAAACCATAATGTCCCCAAGTGTTTCTTACAAATCCAGAAAGAAGAAAAGGTATATAAATTCAAAGATGAACAGTTAAAATTTTTTTCCCTCTAAGTAAGAGATTTAATTTGTGTGATGTTATGGTTTCCGAATTGTTTTCATATCAGATTGTCTCATTGGATGTCCATAATTATCCTGTGAGTTTAAGGGGGAGAAATGGGAACTAACATTTATTTGAGTACCTGTTTTGTTCTAGGCATTGTGCTAGACATGTTTATGTATTTTTTCACTCATTCAGTGTAACAACCCTTTGATACCTGTTTTATAGATGAAGTATCTCTGACTCAGAGGTTAAGTAATTTGCTGAAGGTTGTAGCATTAGAAAGATTCAAAGCAGCTTTGTGCTTCCCCTATTATAGAGGCCTTGTTGCTTCTCAGGTGTATCAAGTATTCTCCTAATTTTATAGGAGAAACTGCCTAAGGTTGCTCATTCATTCATCATTTAATCTTTCATTTCATAAACATTTGCATTTGTACTTTATGCTAGATACTGCTAGGTTTTAGAGATACAGAATTATTAAAGATGATCTCTCCCCTCAGGGAACTCAATCTACATCTAATGCAGATAAATTATAACACACTAGATTTTGGGAGTTCAGGGGAAAGAAGCTGGCTCTTGAGGGATGAGTTTGAAGTTTTCTGGGTGGAAAAGGGGATAGACTGGAGGCCATTCCAGAGCTAAGGAATAACATATGCAGAGATGATAAATTGTTATGGAGATCGGTTTGTAGGGAAGAGTGAGAAATTCAGCGTGACAGGAACTGAGGATTTATGGATAGAGTGGTGAGAGAAGAAATGGTTGGAAGTAGCAGTGGGATTGTGAAGGTTATTGTGTATGTTAAATTAAGGTGTTTGGATTTTTATCTCATAAAATGAGATCACCAAGTGAGATAGTGGTTGAGCTGTAATTAGAAATATGTTTTCTAACTCCCTGTTTCGTTTCTTTCTTTTTTTTTTTTTTCTGAGAAAGGTTTGTCCTGAGCTAACATCTGTGCCAATCTTCCTCTATTTTGTATGTGGGTTGCCACCACTGCATGGCCACCAACGAGTGGTGTAGGTCTGTGCCTGGGACCGAACCTGGGCCACTGAAGTGGAGTGAGCTGATCTTAACCACTAGGCCGTGGTGCCAGCCCCAACTATTTCTTTCTCACCACCTTTACCAACAGATTTTACCCCCGGTTTCAGTGGAGAGTCAAGTCATCTTTTCCATGCCACTCTCCTTTCCTCTCCCCAGTTGCTGTATTCCAGACTGTTTTTCTGAGGATCCTGTGATCCAAATCTTATTGTTTAAAAATGTTTAATTTCCTAGAAGATACTTTTCAGATAGAAATACCTCTGGGAGAAATCACCTAGTTATGGTGACTCAGGAAGTTTTTTCACTCCTTGGCTTTGGTTAGTTGACCACGTTCTCATTTAGCACTGTAAGGCAGTAGGATAGGGCACAGGAGAGTGTGGGCTGGAAAGAAGTGGAAGCGTTTGTGCAAGCTCAGTGTTCATCAATAAAGATGAGCAAAGTCCTAATCTTTACACAAAGCAGCGTGTACTTTCAAAAAGAAATAGGTATGTTTGTAAGTCACACAGTAGCCTGGTAGTTTTAAGTGGGTATTTGATTTACAGTGATAACAGATAACTGCATAGTTACTGTGTACTTCTTTCTAAAGATCGTGGAAGTATTAACTCAGTCCTCATGACAACCCTTTTTATATTATCCTCATTTACGGGTGATGTAGTTAAGTACCTTGGACAAGGTCTCACAGCTATTTTGCTGCAGAGTCAGGATTTGAATTTGGGGTGTCTGAGTCTAGAGTCAGAGCTCTTAACCAGTATACTATCTTGCACCTCAGGTTTATGTTGTCAAAATTTAGTATGCAGAGAGTGTTAAATTCAGTATAGTCACATAGGTTGTCAAAAATATTTCATAAGAACATACACTATGAAGCATACCTAATAATGACATCTGATTGCATTTTGTCAGTCTCAGCTGTATACACTGTAGTTTAAATAATTTAATTATTAAAATTGATCAGTCATTAAGTATTTAAGCTCCAGTCTTGTGCTGAGTGTTAGTTCAGACCAGTGGAATTTAACCTATGTTTGGGGACCTCTTGGGGGTCTCTGAGTCACAACTATTTTCATAGTAATATTAAGATGATATCTGTCTTTTTGCCTCTCCTTTTCCCATCTGAAATGTGGAGTGATGTCTGCACGATATGTGAAAACGTTGCTTTGATGGCTAATGGAATGTGTTATATTCTTTTTTTTCTTTACAATATAATTTACAGTACCATAAAACTCACCCTTTTAAAGTATACAGTTTAGTGTATATTTGTAAGGTTATGTAACCATCACTACTATCTAATTCTAGAACATTTTCACCTTCCCAAAAGGAAACCCTGTGCCCATTAGCAGTCACTTCCCATTCCCCTCTCCCCCAAGCCTTTGGCAACA